TTTGGCGGCACGAGCAGCGAAAACGGCAGTTTGGCTGCAGCAGCAGCAGTTTGGCAGCAGCGCCAGCAGCAGCAGCAGCAGCGTTCTAGCAACAGCCTAAAGGCGCTAAAGGCAGCAGCAGCAACAGCAGCAGAGCTTCAGATGCAGCAGCAGCAGCAGCAGACCCTCTGCTGCAGCTGCAGCAGCGGTTTGCTCCGCTCAATCCCCCCGAATCCACCCCACAGCCTCGAAGAAGCTAAAAACAACTACAAGGCAGCTAGCCAGGTCCAGCTAGCCATCTAGCCAGCTAGCCAGCTAGCTAGCTAGCCAGCTAGCTAGCTACACAGATAGATAGCTAGGTGGCTAGCTAGCTAGATGACTAGCTAGCTAGATGGCTAGCTAGGTAGGTGGCTAGATAGCTGGCCAGCTAGCTGGCGAGCTACCCAGCCACCAAGCTAGCTAGCTCGCTGGACGACTAGCTAGCACCCCTAAACCCTAAACCCTACCCCGTAAACCCTAAACCCTAAACCCTAGCCTTGCATCACAGAAAACCCTCCCGCTGGCTCTCTCCTCTCTTCCCCCTCATCCCCCACTCCAAGCCTCAACCCCACAACCACCCCTACACCACAAACCCCTCCCCCTAAACCCTAAACCCTAAACCCTAAACCCTAAACTCAAAACCCCAGCCGTCAACGCCCAACCCACAAAACCGCTCCCCCAACCCCACACCCCCCGCCTAAACCCTGAACCCTAAACCCTAAACCCTCACCATAAGGATGCCACATATCCTGTTCAAAGACCATCTCAGGTGGACTGTTCGGAAAGCCCGCCACCTCACACCCCTACCTTCCCCTCTCCCACCCCCAAACCCTCCCTGCTAAACCCTAAACCCTGAACCCTCTCCCGTCTCCCCCAAACCCTAAACCCTAAACCCGAAACCCTAAACCCTCGCCATTGGGTGGCCACATATCCTGTTCGAAGATCCTCTCCGGGGAGCTATTCGAAAAGCCCCCACCCTCCAACCCCCTCTCCAACCCCCTGAACCCTAACCCCCCCTCCTAAACCCTAAACCCCACCTCCCAAACCCCAAACCCTAAACCCTAAACCCCAAACCCTCACCATTGGGGTGCCACATGTCCTGTTCGAAGATCAGCTCCGGGGGTGTATTCGGAAAGCCCCAACCTCTAACCCCCTCTCCAACCGCCTAAACCCTAACCCCTGAACCCTCTC